TTGAGTCCTCTCCTTTACCCCAGAGCTCATCCTTGACACCAGGCTTTGTGGCTCAGCCCAGGCACCGTGTTGATGAAGGAGGAAGGTCCTTGTTGAAGCCCAGGCTCTTACAGTCAGACCAAGACATGAATGTTTCAAAACCGATGTGATAAGGTGGTAACAAGTTAACCAGTAGATTCTCAAGCCTCCTCCCTGGTCTAGGAACTCTATTTCCAGATGTGTATGGCCATACCAAGGCGGCCTCTTTGGCTTCTCACTGTAAACTTCATGGTCCACAGTTACTCACCTTGGCCTTTGACCTCTCACGACTCCCAACAAATAGAAAAGAAACATAATGAAATATAAATAGCATAGCTATTGGGAAAGCTGGGAATTTTTAAGGTTTTCCCTTAAATGACTTAAACTGCCTACTGTAAGGCAAGTCTGTATGTGACATGAACATTGTAAACACTGGTACCTCCTTGTCAGGCGGTGGGACAAATCAAGGATAAATATGTATCATCTCACTACATGTGCTAGTGTTGTGTGGCTGCAACTCACCTCAGTAGGGGTTTCTGATGGCCCAAGATGTAGCTCAGTGAGTAAAGGCACTTACTGCCAGGCCTGATGCTCTGAATACTATCCCTAGGACCCACACAGTAGAAGGAAGAAAACAATTTCTCTCATATTGTTCTGTTACCTCCACACATAGCACAGACACCCCATAGCTAAATATAATTTTAAAATTAAAATATATTTTTAAATTAAATGCTTTCTGACTATGAGAAGGATCCCAGGTACAGGTGCAAGGCTATGAGGTTTTTTATTGCTGGCTTGCTTATATATACTGTGTACACAGACAACAAAGATCTGTGCAATCTTAACAATATAATGCAGGCGCACATTCTCAACAACAAAAAGCCTCTCTCTTCTTGCTCCTAAAGACATGAGCTGTTGTCTTGTTCAAGATCTATTCTCAAGGGTTAAAAGGAAATCGAGAAATCTGTCTAAATGTTTGAACAGCTTTGACCAACTTTCTGTGCTCGAAATCTTTTTCATCTCCCAGAGAATGCCAGCACACCTATGTTTCATATAATGGGAGCGTTCGCCCAGCAGTTACAGGTACAAAGAAACCTGTCGGCACACTAATAACAGTCCTGACAAGGCAAAGAGGTGGTGTCATCTGTACTACGGGAAACACTATCTCCAGGAAATTAAAAATGAACCGAAATGTGCTCGGGGAACTTCTGTTTGCAAGTCTGTTTCCTCTGCTCCCAATGGCACTACCAAGTGGGTCAATACCATGGGTGAAACAGGAAATTGCTTCAGTTGTACATAGCCCCAACTGGATGTTAAACCAATACGACAGTGACAGTAAAATCAGACTTAAGACAGATGCTACTTTATAACTTTTGAGCTGGAAAAAAAAAGTAGGCTACTCTAGGTAGAAGGGGAAAAAAATAAATCAAAGCCATAGGCTGCATGTGAATGTGATTTAGAGATGTTTCTGCAAAAAGTAAATAATATGGAATCTCGTGGTCTATCTCCTTCCTAGTTCAATGGCAGAATTAACAAAGTTTAATGGATTACACCATAAGCAGCAACGGTGCATTCAACAAGGTCAGAGGCAAAGTGGGAACCACAGCAACATAACTCTGTTCCTCTTCTGCTAGCAGACAGGTACTATCAGTTCTTAGCACTTCCACGATGCATGGGAGACCGCTACACACCAAACCAGTCCTTTCTTTCAGACATCAAAGACACACAGAGTGAGTCAGAAAAGGACCTCATGTCATCTCTGTGCAGCTCTCTGTGCAGCTGGTCACAGCCACGTGGCTTAATTCTTCCTGAGGGAAGTGGCGGATACCACTACCAGCCTGTGCATGCCTGAGTTTGCCTTACCTGACTACTCCCTCAGGCCGGACCACAGATGTACCTCTGAATGACCACCCCGAGCATTGTGACCAGAGTAGTACCCTGAGGAGTGAACAACGCTTGGAAGAGATCTACAATCCTGAAAGGTGACGAGGGGCAAAGCTAACCTAAACTAAGAGAAGTGCGTTTCTCTCTCTGTTTCCACCATGTGCTTTAAACTTCTTTGAGGCTGTGACCTAGCTGTCACCCTCACACATTCACAAACCCAGAAAAGGAGCAACAGAGAAAAAAAAGTAAATGCTTTGAAACCTCCAGAACTGTAAGAAATCTAACTATGTTGTCTGTGCTCCATGGCAAGGGTGGGCTGCAGTGGCAGCTTTGAGGAGCCCTCCCTGCAACCTGTCAGTGGATAGACATGTGCATCTTGAAGCCAAGTGTTCGAACCTCAATAACAAAATTCTGTGGGTTTTATTTAATTGATACCATAGGAAAATTAGCAGGCAGGAGAATATATTCACAATATCTGAAGCCAGAGATTCATAACTAGAATCTACCTGCCAGAAGACCAAGAAAACCTGTCAACTGACAAGAAAATCATGCAAAACCAAACACACACACAAAAAACCATCCATAGGTAAAGTCCAGTTGTCTGGCCTGTATATGAACAAAAGCCCTACACTATTATCAACAAAAATTAAAAATAAAAAAAACTGTTTCAACATCAATGGAATTTTATGCCATTCATTAACATGGTAAATTTAGAATGCTAGCCAATAAATCCTGGGCAGGAGGTGAGGACAAAAATTAATAGGTCCCAACAGAAACCAGATAAACTAGTCCAGTGGTTCTAGAAAGCAATGTAGCAGTATTGGGGAATTAATATTGAGGGAATTAATTTTGAGAATGTCTTATGATCTAGCAGTTGACTTCTGGTATGTATAGAATGGTTATACCTAAGATATATAGATAAATGGATGGATGATGAATAGATAGACAGATAGATAGATAGATAGATAGATAGATAGATAGATAGATAGACCGACCAAGTGCCTTGGCCTGGAGAGATATCTTCGCGGGTAAGAGTGCTTACTTCACAAGCATGAGGGTATGAATTCAGATCTCCAGGACCCACATAAAAGCCAGATGTAATAGAAACTATAATCCCAGGTTTGGGGAGGATGGTGACAGAAGAATCACTAGGATTTGGCTGACTCCAGCCATGGAGAAAAACAGCAATGTCCAGGCTCAGTGAGACACTGTCTCAGTGGAACTAGACAGAAGACATCACAGATGCCTCTGGCTTGCCTGCAAGTGCCTCTGTTCCCAGTGGGAGCTCAGCATCTCCCAAGGCACATCCTTCTCAGGTCTTTCAGCCACCAGCATGCTGCTTTCAAACTTCCAGAGTTCCTCCATCCTGTGCTCCTCCCGCCCCCATCTTCCTGTCCACAGTCATCTGTTCTAGCATTGTCTGGTTAAGCTAAATGTTCCACTACGGTCTACCAAGTCATTTCTTCTGTAAGTCATAAATACCACGGAAATTTCAATCGCTCATGTAAAGACTGTGAGGGGATATCAGGACACTGGGCTTACAATAATAATGTAATTAATATAATATAATTACAATAAAAGAATTAATTAAAATGCTTTTCACTCCTCTTCCTTTCCTCTCTTATGAGATGCTCCTCCATGCCTCCATAGTTTCAGCTTAATAGTCACTAAAGTCCTTTCCTAACTCTGCATGAATATGCTGCGAGAATTGAACTAACGAATTTTCTGGTAGATCAAATGTTATTTTTTTAAAAACTGGAACTTTTAAGTTAGTCTAAAGCAATTTCTCAAGAGAGAACCAGGGTCAACATGAGGGAGAGGAGGTTCAGAAGGAGCAGGAGGTCAGGAGTTGGGGATTTGAAGTGGGGGCCCCTTAATCGAGAGAGGGGTAAATGAAATGACATTTTATGCTTTTTTAATTTTATTCATTTTTTCTCTTCCCCTCCCCCCCTCTTTTTTCTTCCGTGTGTGTGTGTGTGTGTGTGTGTCTGTGTGTGTGTGTCTGTGTGTGGGGGGGGGGCGGGGGTTATGGATGCCAGAAGACAGCATCGAATCAGCTGTTCTGTCGATTGCAAGCAGCTCATGGGTGCTGGGAATCAAATTCTGGACCTCCTGGAGAGCAGCAAGAACTCTCAGCCCCCAGGCATCTCTCCTGCCCACACATATGAACCAGACCCCCACAGTCTTTGAACAGAGAGGTCTCAATGTGTCCCAGGTAGGATTTAATTTCCAACAAAAAAATTTCAAACAAGAAGACTATTAATCACGGAGATGGCTCTCCAATCTTTGTCCTTAATTTTTTTTAAGGGTTCAAAATGTAGTATCATAGTCTAATTTAGGCTACTGAGCAGACTAAATTTCCTAAGGGTTTTTTATTTGAGTTTCGCATAATTCCCTGTTGCTTTATCCACAGCCTCCCTAGCACCTTGAAGAAAAGAATGTCCCCAAAGTATTTAGCTTATACTGTTTTTTTGTGATGATAGTGCGTCGTGGCCCACGAGGTCTGGTGAAGTTTGTCTGTTTGTTCTTTGAGCCAGGGTTTCTCTGTATAGCCCTGGCTGTCCTGAAACTCACTCTGTAAGACCAGGCTGGCCTCGAACTCATTTTCCCTCCTTCTGCCTGTCTTCCAAATACTGAAATTACAGGCATGCGCCACCACCGCCTGGCTGGCCACGTGGGTTTGTTGTTTTTGTTGGTTGGGGTTTTTTGTTCGTTTGTTTGTTTCCTTCATTGTCTTTTCTGTTTCTTTTTCCCCTCTTTTTAGAAACGTAATTAGAAGATGAAAAGGCAAAGACACCTCCCCGATTTCATTTTGTCTGCTGTAGTTAGGACTTCGGTGTGTAGACTTGAAAGCGGTCCTTTCCCTCTGCAGGTAAAGGGGGCTTCGAACTCCTGGAATCTAGAACTAAACTTTCTTTAACAAGGTGTTTTTAAATAAGCGTAGGAAACCTGGAGCCCCTCCACCGCAGCCTACTGGGGAAAGCGTCAGAAAGTACGTTGTATCTTTAAGAACCTGAAGGCAGGAGGCGGGCCGCCGCCTCAGCGTGCCCGCTGATTGGCCAGGCCTACAGGAAGTGGGCGGTAAACGCGCCGCGTCTGTTATTGTCCGCGCCGCGCGGTTTGCGGAGCTGCTGGAGAGGCGTGCGGGCTACACGGTCTCCGTGTACCCCCCCCCACTCGTGGGCGTGGGACGTGGGTGAAAAACGGGCTCCCTTCCTCCCGCGGGGATCCGAGCAGCGGCTGCCAGCCGGGGGCTGCTTGGAGGGAAGGGGCTGCCAAAGCGCCTGCAGTCGCGTCCCAGCCCCGAGCCCCGGCCCCGCTTGAGATCTCTCTTTCCCCTGTTCTGCAGGTTCTCTTGCGGCGTCATGGCTCAGAGGGCCTTTCCGAATCCTTATGCGGATTATAACAAGTCGCTGGCCGAAAGCTACTTTGATTCTACTGGGAGGGTGAGTTGAGGCTTGCCTGCATCGCCACCTATCCTCTTTCCCCAGCCGTGGGTCTCCAAAGAACATCACTTCTTCCGAGATGATGGGGACGCCCATCTGTCCCCTGCCAAAGATGTGTGATTAGATCAGACTTACATAAGTATCTAAGTCGGGATACACTGAGTCCTGATGTATTGGATAGAGAATAAAAATTTATTGTCAACATCCAACAGTGGAAGAAATAGCCTCAGGTAGTAAGAATGTCCGTTATAAAAATTGTCTTCCAAGTTCACTCCCTTAAGGGACATTAAGGGAGATGAGGAGCCCAGCTGTTTTCATAGGTGCTATGTTATTCCTTGGTGAGTTCGCAAGTCTGGACAGAGTAATGAGAGCAAATGGGCCTGTGGAGAAAACGATTTTAAAAGCATGGTGCTGACAGAAATGTACCCGACAGGCCCGAAATAATTTGTAATCTTACCATTTTTTAAAGCCTCCTTTAAAGCTGAGAACGGTGAGCCAAAGATTGGAAAAAAACATTCCTGTGTACACTGGTTTGCATACTACCACCAAGCACTGAGAGGAGAGCCTGGGAGTGTGACACCAAGGACCTGTTTTCTTATGCCTTTGGGGGAATAGGATTATTGGAAGAAAAACCTGGTTTTGACAAATCTCTGAGAGAGTATGCACTCACTGTGTAGCCCAGGCTAAACTCACAATAGCCCAGGCTGGCCTTGAAATTACTATCCTCCTGCCTCAGCTGTTCCAGCACTAGAAGTAAAAGTGTATGCACTGTGCCGGTAGCCATACATTTTAGACATTTATCAGCTTATTTCTTTGAATGCTATGACTGCAAAAGACAGAGGGTTGGGGGGGGGAGGGAGAAAAGAAAAGTGTTTTTAGTTTTAGGTAGCTGTGAGGAGTTCACTAATACTTCTGGCTTGTGTGGTGTCAGCTCACCCCTGAAAACAGCCTGGTTGATCGTGCAGTAGGAGGGATGGACAGTGGAGGTGCAGTGTGGAAGGATACAACATGTATGTCCTGCTGGGACAAAGCTTTGTGTAATTGGAGCCCAGGGTCCTCCTTGTCATCATCTGGGCCTGTGTTCTGCCTACCTCAGCAGACCTGAAGCTAAGATCTGAGTCAGTCCCTGGAGGAAGGTGTGCCGGTTTGTGCTGACTTGGCAGAGGAAGCACTTGAAGAAGTGTCCTAATGATAGAACTTCAGTCTAAAGCTTTAGGCTGCTCATAAGTAATGCTTTTACACCCTTTATTATTATAATTATCAATATCATTATTATTACCTTTTGTTGCTTCAAAAAATTACTGCATCCATTGCACTTGAGTGATGTGCAGGCCTATACATATTACAGCCATGTAGAGTCCGTTCCTGACTTCCGCCTTATTGAGGCGCAGTCTCCTATTATTTCTGCTACTGTGCGGTGTACTCCTGCTAGCTGGCCCACAGCCTGGGTGACTTGTCTCTGCCTGACATTTTGCCATAGGAGCATTGGCATTAAGATGTGTGTTGCTACAAGCAGCTTTTGCCATGCTCTGAGATCAAATACTGGGTAGTCATGTTTCATAGCTAATGGTTTCGTGTGCTGACATATCTTGGCCCATTTTCTCCGGATTTTTGAAATGCTAAACTAAAGCCCACATTGGCATGGCCTTTAACTCAAAGTAATCCTCCTGCCTCAGCCTCCTGAGTACTAGTATTATAGTACTAGTATGAGCCACCACATCCGGCTCTCAGAATCATTCATTCATTCATTCATTTCTTTCTTTTTTTTTTTTCACTTCTTTTTTTTTTTTTTTTATTGGATGATTTATTTACATTTCCTATGTTGTCCCCTTACCCCATCCCCCACCACCCCCTCGGAACCCCCAATCCCCTCGCCCCTCCTCCTTCTTCTCTGTGGATGTAACCTCTATCTACACCCCCCCCACTCCCACCTCCCCACCCTCAAAATTCCCACCCCCTGGGGCATCCAGCCTTCATGAGGTCAAGGTTCTCTTCTTCCACCTATGCCCAGCAGGGCCCTCCACTTTTACATATTCAGCTGAAGCCCTGGATCCCCCCCTAAGTGCTCCCAGGCTGGTGGTTTAGACCCTGGGAGCTGTGGTTGGTTGGTATTGTTGCTCTCCTCATGGTGCCACAAACCCTTTCAGCTCCTTCAGTCTTCACTCTAACTCCTCTATTGAGAACCCCATGATCAGTTCAATGGCTAGTTGTGAGCATCTGCCTCTGAATATGTCTGACTCTTGAAGGCCTCTGAGGAGATATCCATATCAGGCTCTTATCAGCATGCATTCATTTCTTTCTTAAGGCAGTGTCTCATTATGTAGCTCCAGCTGGCTAGGAACTCACTATGAAGTCCAGGGTGCCCTCAAACTCACCAGGCTCTATCAGCCTTTACCTCCTAAGTCCTGGGATTAAAGACCCACCATACCTGGTATGTGCCACCATACCTAGCCTAAATTTAATTCATTTCTAAGAAACAAAAAAGACACAAATGCAAAACAAACTTATCCCAAATAACAGGCTGGCATATGGTAGAGCATAGTTTTGGAATCCTACAAAGAAAGTGACATTGCTTTTTAAATCCTCTTGTTGAACCTGAAAGGTCAAACCCTGGAGACCTGGCTGCCTCCACATTAAGACAAAGATACAGAAGGAGCTTGTCGGTCTCCTGGCCTCTTCCGGAACTCTTCACACTTTTCTGTTTCAGTGATGTGTTCTGCAGCAAGCAGCTAGTATTCTCAGGCAGGTCACCTTTGTAAACATGTGCCTAGCAGAAAGTGACTCCTGTCCCAAGGTTGAGACGCTTTCACTGTGGCCTCCTGACGTCAGACTACCAAGGGCTGTGCATTCCAGGTGGCCTCTGCAGAAGGTGGCTTGTGGCCATGCCAAGCGACTCCTCGACTTCTGTGAAGCTTACAGACCTTTTTATAGTAATATTAAAGTTCATCATATCTTACTAAATGCATCTCAAGTCTCGTTGAAGACCTGACCTTTTGTCAGAGAGTGTTAAATAACAGGCGAGTGTCTGTCAAGCTGTGGATTCTTTGTGGTGCTCTGTGCTGCAGTGGCCACAGACATCACCAGGGATGCACCTCAGAGGCGAATCTTTCAAAATTATTAGCGTTAGGACTTACGACACTGTCATTTTCCAGTCTTAAGTGCCTCTTTGCATGTGTGTGCTGGAGATGTGCATGTTTGTCAGCTTAAAGGATGATGTCCGTTGCTCCCTGTATCCTGTCTTTTTTTTTTTTCAGACGAGACTTTCTGGCGTGGAACGTGACAAGTAGGCTGTCCACCGAGCCCCAAGAATTGACTTGTTTTCTCTCTGCAATAAGATAATAAGATAATAAGCGTATGCCAGCTTGTTCCTCTATAAGCACATGCCAACATTCTCCCCATAAGAATATCCCACCTTGTCCCACTATAAGCACATGCCAGTTTACACTGCTGTAAGCACATGCCTAGCTATAACCACATGCCAGTATACCCCACTTTTTAATATACTGATTCTAGAGGTCAAACTCAAGTTTTCATGCCATTTCCCTCACTTAAGGAGGTACTCTTAAAAATGAGATTTATAGGGCCATTGAGATGGCTCATCAAGTAAATGCATTTGCAGCCAAGCTGAGGACCCAAGCAGAAGGAGAAAACTAACTCTTGACAGTTGCCCTCTAACCTCTACCCATGCATGCATGAGCAGGCCTGAACAGCCAGACTGGAATAATAAAGACAGACAGACTCTGATGATTGCCAGTATAGGTTTGATACTGCAGTCTTTTCATGATGAAACATCTGTCTGCACATGTGGTGGTCCTCAGTCCTGTGTTGAAATCTCAGTGGTTTTTGGGAATTGTAGTCTGGAGATATAGCATGCTCCTGAAGAGTTGATACATTGGCACCAATCTTTAATGCACAGTCATTTAGACTTTACAGTACTTCAAAACTACTTTACAGTTGCCTTTTTAAAGAGTATGCCTTGGTGAGGAGGCAGAAGACATGGCTGCAATCGAGAGCATTTGTTACGCTCGCAGGACCTAAATTCTAGTCCCAGCACCCACATGGCAGCTCACAGCTGTCTATAACTCCAGTTTCAGGGGATCAGACCCCCTCTTTTGGCCTCCCAAGGCACCAAACACACACACACATAGTACAGAGACATACAAACCATCAAAACATCCATACATAAAATAATAAAAATGAAAAGAAATTTTCAAAATAATTGTAGGATTATGACCTATGACCCATCAGTTTTGTAGGCTATCACATGGGTGTCACTAATCTCAGGGCCTCAGAGGGGTGGCTTTAAGAAACCATGGGACAGGTGTTACTCTCAACTTCCAAGAAGGCAGCTACAGTATAAAGAAGTGGAGTTAAGCTGGTCAGTGGTGGCTCATGCTTTTATTCCAGCACTTGGGAGGCAGAGGCAGGCCAATCTCTTGAGTTCGAGGACAGCCTGGTATACAGTTTGAGTTCCCAGACACCCAAGGATACACAGACAAACCTTGTCTAAAATAACAGAAAGAAAGAAAATGACTTTCTTTTCTATTGAGACTAGGTCTGACTGTGTAGCCTAGGCTAGCCTCAAAGTAGCTGACCTCCTGCACCAGCCTCCCAAATGTTGGGATCGGATGCATGCACCACTATAACCTGGCTCATGGTTACTTTGTAAACTAAACATGTTATCTTAAATAGTGTGAGTTCCCTATGTGGTTTCTGGAAAACCTGTAAAGCTGCTTTAAGTTTTACAGGGTAATATTTTATTTCCATGAATAGAAAATGTCATCATAAAGGTACTACGGATCCACTTTTTACTCTTCTTAAAAGTATTTTTCCTTAATTTCTGCAGCTGACTCCTGAGTTCTCACATCGATTGACCAGTAAGATTCGGGAGCTCCTTCACCAAATGGAGAGAGGCCTGAAGTCCGCAGACCCTCGGGACGGCACTGGCTACACCGGCTGGGCAGGTACAGTGTGCTGACTGAGCTAGCGTGCACACTGCTGAGAACCAGTGCAGGACCTTCCCAGGGCTGTGAGGTGTGTCACAGGGCCTCCGATGTGGGTGTGTCCTGGGAGCGTGCTGCTCCCCAGCCTACAGGCAAGCATACTGCGGGTATTCATGCCTGGCCTTGGGGAGTTTACTGTGAGGAGAAAAGTTGTTTTCAGCACGATGTAGTTGCGTAGAAGAGTTCCTGGAACAGAGGCAAAGAAGCTTCGTCTTCACAGAATAAAACAAGTCTGTAAATGTCGCCCTGAACACCCATCCCAGAGCAGTGACCTGTAAGGATGACACACTTAGTGCCCGAGCTGCGCATGAACCTCCTCCTCCTCTGCTCTCCTTGCTGGTTGATTTTCAAGTGCTGCCTACCAGGCTCTACTGCTGATAGCCTGGAGGGGAAGAACTAGCCACTGTTCTGGAGGGAGGAGGGAGGAGGGAGGCAGAAGCCAGGAATGTGCATTTTACAAACAAATGTGGATCTGTGGGCTGCCAGGGAAGGAGAGCTGCCTGTGAGAAAGACTGTCTGACAGCAGGCTCTCTACAGCCCTCTGCATGTGAGAACTCACATTTCCTCACCAGGTCAGGGAAGACATGGGAAATCTCTAACATAATTACAGGGAAACATGAAACCAACTGTTTTTCTTGATGTATGGCCTCACCATGTAGCCCTGGCTGGCCTCAAACTCGCTATATAGATCAGGCTGTCTTCAAACTCACAGTGATCCACCTGCCTCTGTCTTCCAAGTGCTGGGATTAATGGCATGTACCACCACACCTGGCCTAAGGCAAGCTAGCATTGTTCCGTACTTCTTAGAGTTGAGGTTAAGTCTGTTACGTGTTGTAGAGGCTGAACATAAGAAACATTAAGAGAATGAAAGGAAAGCATTTTGTGTCAAGAAGGAAGTTATCAAAGTGTCCTTTATTACTAATGTAATTTCAGCTATAGTTAATTGACAGACTCATTAATAAAGAATCTTGCCGTCTTTATTTAAAGTAATGGAATTTGGAGAAAACAGAACTCGTACCTACACAAGTGTTTTGGCATGTCTTTCCTGCCAAGTTATCCACTACAGAAGGCGTAGGCTCAGATCCCATCCTAAGACATTTGAAGTTTCCATTATTTTGTTACCTCTGACCAGAGAAAGAGGCACAAGCAGACCTGAGACACATGGCTAGAGTTAGTTCTAGAGCAGATTCCAAAAAGGGACTTAAATCCCTAAGTCACCCATTCAGATAGGTCCATGGTGTTATAGAGAACATTGCTTGAGGCTGGAGGAGAAATGGTTTTGGATTTGAATGACTGACTTGACAGTGTCAGAAAAAGCTGTCTGTCAAACAGCCTGAATTGCTAGTTAGTTGAGAAGCTAAAAGTCATACTTCATTCAGAGGAATTTTTACTGTGAGGTGAAATGCACCTGGTTTAAGCTTTCTGGCTGCAGTGCATTTCCGGTACCATCTTCTCCAGCTGCCAGTGTCTTATCCTCGAGCGGCTCGCTCTCATTGTGGCTCTGGAAAGCAGCTCCATGGCAATGTCTGAGGCAGACTGGTACACGGAGCAGTTGACGGTGTCTTCAGTTGTTGGTACATTTCTGAAGAAGCTTAAAATCCTGTAGAAAAAAATTGCTAATAGCTTTCAAGGCAAAGTTCCTAATATCCTATCTTTGAACGCTGTTACAATGCCATTATTTCTGCATAAAATAAACTGTCTCTTTCAGGGTTCTAATACATATAAGGCCATCCTGGGCCAGTATTCAGTCAAAAAAAAAAAAAATGTAAAGCTCTGAGTTGACTAAGATAGAACACTGATTCAGGCACAGGAAATCAAAATCTGTGAGCCTTCGTTAACCTTACAACTTCCATGACAGCTGCCATTTGGTTATAGAGCACTGCATCCAGGAAGATAACAGTGGAATACTTGCTAACATGTCAAAGCAGTGGCCACCTGATGGCCGGTGTCTTTGTATGCAATCTATGCACACCCAGGTAGCTTTCTAAAAATAATGCTTTTTTAAAAAAACAGCATACCTTCTTTTGGCTTTGCTCAGTATGAAATTTGGAGTTTGTGACATTTTACTCTTTTTGCTAATTTAGGAAGTGCTATTTTATTGTAGAAGACCTATAACGTTCTCTTCAACACCAACATCTACTGAGCATTTGTTGTCAGTGGACAGTGAAAGTTGTTAGAACTTTTCGTTAGCTTACAGTGTGGTCTGTGTGAGCCAAGGCTGTGATTACAGTTAATTAGAACTTTCTAAGTTGATATCTTATTCTCTAGTAGAAATGTGGCTCATAGCCAGTGCTGATTCAGGGAGAATTAGGATTTGGAATGGAATTTGATTCATCAGTTTAAATAGTATAGTTTATGTTTCTCGCACAGAAAAGGCCTGGAGGGACAGCTGAAGACTGACAGGGCAGCCTTGGCTGGCAGCCGAGGCTCAGGTTCCTCTTACTGTTTTCCCCTTTCTCAGCCACTAGTTCTAACCCTCAAAAGATGTATTCCTTTCCTTTAGAACGACCTTGTGGATGCCTCTCTCAAGTTCCACTCAGTGTGGGTTGGCGTTGCACAGTCACATGGTCACTCCTGTTAGGAAGGAAGGGTGGCTCATGTAGGCCATTGGCTGGAGTTTCACTACTAAAGAACAGACTTTCAAATAAAGCCTATTAGTATCTTAGAGCTCTTGTCTACAAGCAAAGCTATCTTAAATAAATGTTGTACAGCCAGTAGGTCCTTATTTTTTCCCTGTCTGTAAATTCTCTCTAATGTTTGTCCACTTGGGTCAGGATTTTTATAAGAATGAAGCCCTTTGCTAGGGTCTTAAAATATTTTTAAATCACAATTTTAAAGCAATATTTTGCCCTTCATTTCCAAAGGAACTCAAAACAAACTATTCATCTCACACATAGTGGGTTTTCCAAAAATCCTGTTACGGAGAAATATTTCAGAACACACAATCTTGTACTGCCTGGTGCTCAGTGCACCTCCCCTCCAGGAGAGACTGCGGCTGGTTCTGCACATGTTCCTGCCTTCTCTAACTGATGACCTAGTTCTCCACTTTCCCTTTCTTGTCCTTCAAACTCCTGTTGGCTTTTGTGGCCTCTAAATGCCTTTGTTTGCTTGTACTATACCTGTCACATCACTAAACCTCACAGTCAACTATGCGCCCTTCGTGGTTCTGAAGGTTTACAGCTCCAGAATGAGGCCGCCAGCTCTGTGATGCCTGGTGTGTGCTGTTCACCCGCTCTGCTCACCTTGAGGGTTCAGTGACAAGACATAGCACCATGTATTTAGTGCTACGTGTGGACCTGCATCCAAACACATGGACACTGCAGCTTTTTCCATTCTTGGTCTTTCAGCTAAACCTGAGACTAATGAGGTCAAGGTACTTTGACTTCCTGCCAGGGCACCTCTGTGTGGTACGTGCTTTGCAAGGTAACTTGCAATTAGAAGCTTACCATCTCATTTATTATGTTTCTTTCACCCTAATAGTTTGGTCTAGTAGATAATTCTGGTTCAAAGAGTAAACTTTGAAATAACCACACGTGTACAAACTGTTATTGATACGAGTTAAGTGTACATGGTTAAACAAAACTTGAAGTAAATAAGGTAGCAAGATGGCTCAGGGTAGAGAACTTGCTACCCAGGCATGAGGACCTGAGTTTCCTAGCACCCAGATAAAAACTGAGAGAGCATAGCAGCCCACCTGTAATCTCAAACTCAGCACTCTCTTATAATCCCAGCATTCAGGAGGTAAAGAGGGTATCTATCCTTAGACGCACTGGCTAGCTAAACTAGCCAAATCTGCGAGCTTCAGGTTTAACAAGAGACCCTGTCTCAGCGAACAAGGTATAAATTGACCAAGGAAAATACACAACATCAGCCTCTGGCCTCCACATACATAGGTCTACATGTGTGCAAACACATGTACACTACACACACAGACACACTATTCTACAACAGGACGTGGCTTTTATTTTTCAGTGGAACTTGAGGATTTTTTTACAGAACTGAGAGCGTTCACTGTGTGCTTTCAGAATCTAAACATTACACCTATGAGATGCCATCATTAAGCCCCATTCCCCTGGCATTTTACCCTTTTACACTTGTTATGGAAAAACAGAATTCCATGGCCCTGAGGAGAAACGAGTAGCGGTGGCAGCACTGTCCTGTTAACAGTCACTCTGACATTTCATGACAGGAGTGAGTGTGTGTGCATGGACACCAATGACCAGTGGGGAAGGCACACACCATGCTCAATGCTTTCCTCTAATTCACTCTTCTGTGCCTCAGAACAGTGCCATGGTGTGGAGTCTACCCAGGTTTCCATGTGTGTGTCACAGCTGAGAAACAGAAGCAGAGCAGGCTGAGTTCCTAGGTGTTACACAGCCATCAGGTGACGACAACAGGCTTCTGTCCAGCAAGCCTGGCTCATGAGTCATACCCTTTGAGTTTTGAGTGAGACTGCATGTTTTCTACTAACTACTGTATTTGTGTCTATTATCTATGTTTTGTAAGTGAAGATTTTCTTAAATCTCTAATATGGATACCTGTACTGTACAACCTTTTAGAATTGCATGTGATCAATCATAGTTTGGCATTTTTGCAATTTTAAAAATAATTTGAAAAATAAAGAATTAAGCCTTAATACCAAGACAGCAAAGGGAGAGATGACTACTGTCTGGCCTTCGAGGAGTTTGTTTAGGATTGGACACAAAGTAAATCCTGGAAGTTTTTCTCAGCATTGCAGCCAGAAAACTGAACTCTCTGACATTCTTTTGGAAGAATTTGTTTTCCCATTTCCTGATCCTGTGGTTACATTCGATGTAGGTTCAGAATAAAACAGAAAGATTCTTCTCATAATGGCTTGTTTTGGGAAAAGGTTGTTGAGAATCTTCTCAAGTGAGTTCTCATCTGTCATCTAAGATCAGTCAGTCAGTCGGCAGCCATTAATTAGTGATAGTTCATATAAG